TCGAACCAGGAATCGCGATTCTACACCAGTGCTCCTTTAACCACTGCGATACAATCGCTCCATCGATACCATCGTACGATATGCTATTACGATTAAAATTGATCTTTTTAGTGCAGTATAATCTTAAAGTTGAACGTGTGATCTCTGTACTTCATAAATCATCTTTCCATTGTTCACTGTAATGCCCTACAAAATTTCCGACATGGAATATGTTTCGTCTGCAGCTTTCGACGTAATAATCTTCAAACGTTCTCTTAAGACTATCGCCAGCTTTGAAGTCACCAACGCTACTTTACTGATGGATACGGTGCTTTCTACACAACACTTCTAAATTCATACAGAACCTCAACTTGGTCATAGATCATTCCTAAGGGTTAAAAGAGAAAATCAAGAAAACTTATCTTGATAAGCTGTCACGAGGTTGGTAAAATAGTCGTGGAAATTCGGCTGACGTTTCGGCGACCAGCCTTCTTCAGAGCCTGGGCGTATGTAGTATTAGTCTATTTGAATGATTAGGATGGTCTTATTTATATGCTGCCTAGATCAGGTTAGAGGATCAAACGAAGAAAGGGCACGAGATTTCGTGTGATGTGACGCACTCGTCTTTCCGGTTCATTTCGGGATTTCGGTCGTTTATGCAAAATGCCTCAAGAGTTTTGCGCGTGAATGTTTGATTCCTGCGCTAGGATTGTGACAGTCACATCAAAATCCTTGTTGTTGTGTTTTTGTGCCCTAAGTAAACCTAAAGGTTTGGTCTTATCTATTTTAGATTTACTATCTAGATGTTCTTTTATGCGGATGAAAAGTGGTCAACCCGTTTCGCCTATATATTCTTCCTCGCATGTTTTACATGTTAGTTAATAAATTGTGCTCGATCTTATACAAGCCCTTCTTTTCCGTTAGGGCAGATCATACAGTTTTTGGTGTTGCACAATCGATCATAAAGTCTATTGCGAATCAGTTGATGGCGTAGGATGGGAGGTGGGATTTCGACAACTACCACGGAATTTTCAAGACCGCATCTTTTTAGGCACCTTTAAAATTTCCCACCTCTTTCTATCCAGGAGCGCATGCACTAACCCGTTGCGCTACTACCGCTCGTTTTGCCACCATTCTTTCCATGCTACAGTGCATCTATTTGTCAACAACCGACCGTCAAAAGTTTGCCCCAGGTGGTCGGTATCGACACTGAACCCAGTGGATATTCAAGTGATGGAGTTCGAGTCCTGACTAAAACGTAAGTTTTGCGAATCACTCTACATCACTGGGTAATAATATTATGACATCATATCACCGCTTAAAGCGGTTAAATGAAAAGAATTACACCTTGGATGTTGCTGAGTAATTTCAATTAATTCCATTTAATATTGGTGCTTGTGATCTAGTGCGAAAAACTTATGAGAAAACCTCATATCATAAGGTCGCCATTGTGGTATATGATGGTCAAATACTCAATCTACTTTGCAAAACTTTCCATATGATGACCAGAGTAAGATTAGCGAGTGATCAGCAGTGTGGCATGATAATGGGCAGTAGTCTTTGAATTCACATCGATGAAGTGAAGTTTTTCCTATACTCTCGTAATAAATTCAGTTCAACAACTTCTCTAGATAACCTTGAGACCGACTATACACTAATCTCGGTATTCTTCAGTAACTCCTTAATTTCTTCTTGGGCCGTACACGAGATATTAAAACACAATTTACTCAAAAAGCTGACGCTTCGTCAGTTTCTCCTTCAGTAGGTCGAAGGATCAGGTTGTCCATTATCCATTCGAGTGATTCAGTGAATTGGGTTATTGTATTGCAGGTAACCTAATCTTTCCAGGTTCTGAAGAAGAAGAAAGTGTTGAAGCGTTAGCTGTTTGAATTGTGTTGTAATATTTATCATTAGGTATCGAAAAATTACTTCGTGTGTTAGAGAAAATTGGCACTAGTGATTTTATGTCGCTAACTTTCATCGCTTTCTCAACCTCATTCAGATCAACAATCTCATAAACATCGTTTGAAAAAAATGCCCCATTCAAGTTTCCCGAATCGAACATCTATGTATACTCTAATCACGTCTATCTAAGTCGTAAAATCAACATGGTGAGCGATCTAGCTCCAGAATTGAGCAGAGGCAAACAAGCGGCTTAAAGAACGTTTAAGGGCATCAAGGATGTAGTGAAGAGGACAAAGAATATCCGGCCCTTGCTCACCGTTTCGACTCGACAATTATCCTTGCTCTAACATAGGCAGCAGAAACCTGGCCGCTTAGTAAGCAGGATGAAAGATCACTTGGCGTTGTTGAACGCACAGGCGAACGGTCGATGCTAGGAGTATCCCGTATATTGCAAATGAGAGAAGGGATCCAAAGTTCCGACTTACGTCAACGATCGAAGATCAAAGACGCCGTTCTACATGCCAGGATATCGAAAATAAGGTGGGCTGGACACATGATGCGCTTCAACGATAACCGATATACGAGAGCCGTTATCAATTGGATTCCTCGGGACGTCAAGCGCTCTACAGGGGAGACCAACGACCCGATGGCTCGACTTCCTCACGAAAGTCATAAAAAGAAGATATGATGCTCAACGAATTTTTAGAGCGAGGGGACGCACTGAGCTACTTTTGCACGCGATGAGGAAAAATGATGGAAGTGTTGCTGGTGCTCGCTCGAGTCACTCGGCTATCAACGGGACGACAGGTAATTTAGGTGATGCGTATCTTATCAAAGACCTTTTTGATATGATTAAAGTCGCTCTCACTTTTGGCACAACCACGTCTCCTTCGACGGTTAGATGAGAACTTCAAATATAATGTTCGATTCAACCACTGGACTAGTAGTTTGGCCAAAGCATCTTTTCTCGGTCATACGGTGGTCAACCACCCCTAGCAATGAAGCCGGCGATAAAAGTGCTCGGAACTGCTTGATAAATCCAGAAAATGACAGACTATTAGCCATTAAATTCTTGATCACAGACAGCTTTTGGAAAAAAATCGAGTAAACTGCATACTGTTCAGTGCTGGACATTTCTAATCAACTAAGCCTTCACAGTAGGCCTCAGAAAAGGCATCCGTGCCACACTCCCATCCAACATATTCGCCATCAGTACCCGACAACGAGCAGCTTGGCAGTGATATTAAGATAACGGCAGTTATTACCACAGCTGCCCACATTCTGACAAATAATTTATATCTCTCATTATAATATGAAGTCACATGACGATATTAGTCGGCATAAGTTTCCAAGTCTATTTTTCCAGTTCAGTAGTAATCATAGAGTCACACTGAATTAGTCATAAGCAGAGTTGAAACAAATTAAGAGTTTATTGGCAAGGGCTACCTAACATGGCTTTATGCTGCAACAGTAATACGTAACCTTATTTCTACGGTTTTGCACATCATGGCACCAAAGTGGCCTTAACCATGCAATGTTCTTGTTTAGTCTCCAACAGGAGTATCGAGGTTGAGAATTAGTTCGGATCACTTTTATCGAAGTCTCGATAGGGCTGTATTTGCGCAGTGGCGAATAGTTTCAGTCACTTACGGTTAAAATAATAAAGATAGATTACCATAACTCAAGTCTGGATGTAGTCTATAAGTTGCTGGAGTAAATTTACAACACTTGTAAAACAACAAGGACATGAGAACTCCAGCAAAGACTAATCGGGATTACCCGACGTGATGCTTGCAAAGAGCCGGCATTAAAAAAATGAATTTAATTTCGGGTGTCATCTTGGGAGATTCATTAGTAATGAATACTCTACAGTTTATCATGTGCTCAAATACTCATTTGGATGCACTGAGAGCAACTTCAGGCAAATTCGTCTTAGTCACAAACTGTTGAGTTGTTGCTATTGACTATGGAGATAAAGACCAGTCGTATATGACAAGAATATTCTGGGCAAATCTTCCCAATACCTAGGTAGTAGGGGAGAAATATTTGATCGAGCACTGTGAGTTGCTTGTCAAGGAAACTATACAGTTAATTTGAACATAACGCCTTTCTTCGTCAAATAAAAGAGGGCAGCCGCGAAGGATTTTATCACGATTAACCTTGATAAAGGCAGAACTTGTGAAAAAAATATCCATTATAGCAAACCTCCAACGGAGCTTTGCTATCTTTTCCGGAATTACATGGCAATTTAGGCAACGTAGATCATCCATGACCTTAGAGAACAAATGGTATCGCAGAGGTTAGAGGACTTTGGACAGAAATGGTCCACAAGGCTACAGCAGCACCCGGCTACCGCCAACCTCAACAGTTAGTTCGATCACAGGGCATCATCCGAACTGTCGTTTGACTTCATCCGGACCACCTCACCTCAAATCGTAATCGATCCATTATTGTTCTCTATACACAGTCTCGTTGTCGTTTATCAATTTACTATCATAAGGTTGTGTTCATACAACTGTCAGATGAAATCGAGAGGACTGTGAACGGAACATAGCGCTTCCGTGGCGGAGCGAACTCACTTAGGCTGTGCTTGGCCCACCAGCGCGGCTGACTTATTCTGCCCATCTATAATCAGTAGTGACCCCACTGATATCACACTGTATATTCACCCACTGGATCCCACCGTTGGCTTGCTGTTCCGGAGAGAGCATAACAACCCAAACGGGCTCCGCCGTCTAGTCATGCTCCGTCAGTCACAATAACCTCGTCAGTTCATCTTCAGTTCAACATCTTCAATTGCAATAACATTCAGTCATAATAACATTTATAGTGTCGTCAGATGACGATACTTCTCATCAATCGGTCAATCACATTGACACAGGCATATGTTCACATAACGATATGTGGCAATCATGTATATGTTATCATTATATTATTATAGTAATGTATGTATATTATAGGTTGCTTGGCTCTACCACATTGTTTGGTTTCTACCACATTGTTTGATGCCATGCCATTGTTTGGTTCCATCCTATTGTTTGGTATAACCAATATAAACCATTGAACCACCACATATAATTTAGTGCATCATCTACAAACCATCGTTACGATTTTGGTGCATTGGCAGGGAATCAAACCTGGGTCACCCGTGTGGCAGGCGAGCATTCTATCACTGAACCACCACATACAATTTAGGGCACCGGCTACAAACCTTCGCTACACCCATAAAGAATAGGCGGAAAATCTAATGCAAAATTTAGCTGTCAACTCTAGCAAGTTAAACGAAGAAGGATATATTTACTTTTAACTTTGCTGCAATGTGGAATTGACAAATGGAGGGTTAGGCACCTATCTTTTCCGTTTCCTCATTTCTGTTTTAAATCCCAAAATTCTTTGGTAGAAGGCGACGGATTTTTTACATTGGAGTTCAAACTGCGATGGGAAGTATAAGGACTGAGCCCCAACACCAATTGATATCATAGCGAACTTAACCCTTGGGTAAGGGAGGCCCCACGGCGTTAGCCCCGCTCCATTGCCTCGCACGTCGACGAGCGGTTAATGGTGCAGAGTGGTCAGTGATGCCAGTTATCGGAGTGAAGGTTACCGATTTGATTTTTTCCACGACACATCACAGAAGCTCTTTGGTATTGTGTTTCGGAGTTCACTAGCATTTGAGGTTCATCTATAGATCATCATTGTTGTTCATTATCAGCATATAGATGTTTTGCAAGTGCTTAGTGTATTTGTACTAGATTGTATTGTATTATCGTATTATTCGTGATATCTATAAGCATATATTTTATGTGATAATGTTGCATTGCGAGTATTGCCATAAGTTGCAGATTGCCGAATGAATGGTGGTAAGTAAATTATTTGATTAATTGCTTCGGTTACGTGCTACGATATCAGATATGGAGTGAGACGGGACTAGCGCCGTGGGTTTGTCATACTCAAACGGTGAATGTGAGATGGGAGGTGCAAGCAACAACGTCTTCTTAATCAATGTAAGAAGTATCGTCTTAGAGTAGAAAGGATGCCAGTCTAATGACGGCACCGTACCCAATCATTTTGGCAAAAAGGCTGAGCAAGGAAAACCTCATAACTGCCGTCAGATTAGTGATATGTATGAACTCTTTATAAGAACTGCCATTCTGCCTAGAGCGAAAATAAGAATTTAGACATTGATTGAACTTAGCAGACTGCATTTAGATTTTTTCTATTGTTAAAGAAATCTGTGAGAATGTTACATGATTTTTGTTACATCCACTACTGATTAAGAAATGTGTTCAATTGCTCGGGAAAGAATGCATTTTTAGTATGCTTTCAGGCTAAGAGAGACTCTGTAATGCTATACCACCTCGTCAAAGCGGTATGCCAGCATATTGCTTTAGGCTAATGATACCCTTTTAATATACGCCTAAACATACACTCCATTTTTCTAGAAGTAGAGACAATGATAAACAAAGCAAGAGAAAAAGTAAATAGTATACAGATTTAAGGAAGTGCAGTAGCCATGCTGTGATGGTGAAGAAGGCGATGTGAATGGTTTCCAACGAGTATTGAGACTACTGCTCATGTTCACTTTATGTGTTCAGTTAGTATAGAGAACAGCATGAATAAAGCATCATGCATAGCGAGAAGAGCAGTACGAGTCACATACATGCCTATTCAACGAACTGCCAAGCGACTGAAGGAATATAAGCTTCAGACTTGCTGTTTGTGAGTGGCTCTGAATTCATCCTTTTCACTGTAGAGCACAAAAGATATTAGACAGCTTTATTCAATGAAATAGTTGAACAAAGAGGAAGATCAAGATAGACGCTGTTGAGCGTTGTACGAATATAAACGGAACTCCGTTTCTTATAGCTCTGATCGGGCTTATATACTGGACCCAGGTTGCTTTCAGTAGCTGATATAATATTTTTTTGCCACAGTTGCATGAAAATAAGCGTTCGTAAGTGGTATTTAATATTCATAGCGATACGGAATATACAAAACCGTTTTAATCACCGGAAAGGCAGAATATCAAAACATATTGGTCGTGTGATCACGAATATCTATTAGTTAGCGGCACGATCAACGATTTTCATGCACCGTATACTTGACTGTTTTCTAAGTTACTCCTTTCAAATTAAACACGATGACCAACGAGGTTGAAATCTGGCGCGGCACGCGACGTCGCTGGGCGGACGAGTGCCGCGGCCACAATGACGTTATGGTAGTTTTCTATCGAAATGTGGACTTGTATCGTCACTAAAGGTAATTTCGTTGCCAGAAATATCAAAATATGATAGAAGACATCGATAAAGCTATCTCTAACATAAGCAATGACGATGCTTTCTCCTAAAATCTCGAATCTCTAGGAAAAAGGAAGATACTCACCAAGACGGACTTTGCTTGCAGAACAGTTGACTTTTTTCGTTAGCAGAAAGCAAAATAAAAGAATATTTCACAGAGAAAACTTGGGTGAAAGAATATACATATTTCAAGCTATCGAATGATACAAAAACAGATGAAAGAGAGAGAAACGCAGTTATATAACAACAGGAAATATGCTTCCTTTCACAACAAGTGTGCTTTTCCAGTTGAGACACAAATGATTTTTCGAACATGCAATCTATGACTATAAAATTTTTATAGCAGCCTCTTCTGCTATAGTTCGTCACTTGATCACGACATTATCCCTCAGCATCTCAGATTACCAAACAAGTTAACATATTTCTATTCTAAGGCGTAACAATGAAAACTCTCGCCCTTCACGCCGCCGCACACGCGTCGTGCAGTCTGAGCTAATAACAGCTTAGATAGTTGTCAACGTGTTAAACACCTTGACAGCAATTTTTGAGCCTTTTATGAGGTCTGTAATTTGACTCCTGTGGTAAATACAAGATTCAGCCTTTTTGCCTCATTAGTAGCACGGTGGACTTAGTAAAGGTGTCTTCGCAGTGGTCAGCCTTTTTTGCGACAGCGTGAATGGAGAAAACCATGCTCCTGTTTTCTAATATGCCACAACTGAATTAAATCCTTATTCGTAAAACTGCCACTTACACGCTAACACGGAGGTCCTATTTTATATGGTGATCCTTCATCGTAACATTTTCTGCTTCACCTTATCAAAAACATTTGCGAGACACATTATTCTAACGTCTTATCGGCGAATACTCTTGATCTGAGAGAAAGATGAAACTCTAACCTAGTACAAATCACTCACCGTTTCCTTAAAATAAATACGTGTGGCAGCACGAAAGATAACGAACTGAATATTAGTGAAATTGCAAAACTGGTGTGAGATAAAATCAAACTCGGCATCATAAGATACCTTTGCACCTCGTTTTGTGTTAGAATATCCACGATATTAACCAGAAATTCCAGGTTATTAAGTCCTACTTGCGTAAGATTTTCGACTTGCAAATTAAGAACACTCTGTTCTGGTTTTTTGTCTACATCGTTTAGTGCGTTGTCGGACCCAAATTTCATTCAGCTGGTTGTGAAGACTAAGTCGCATCTGCATTGATACCTCTCCCGTATATATGGAAACAGATCTTCCCTGGGAACGCTGCGCCCACTTATTTTTGGTACATGTGTGCATTTTGTGTCGTGACAGGTGATTGTCCGTTCCCCTCTCACTCTCTTTATCTGTGGCCTTTTCTTTCCTTCTTTGTCTGTCGCCATTGTTGTCGTCCTCGTTCAACCTCCCTGCTACTGTTGCTTCTGTACACGTGCCCTCCTCACACCACCCCACTACTAGCTACTTCGTCTTTGCTCCTGACAGGTCTACTTCTCTCATCTGACTCGCTACACGCACTACCTTTTCATAAGCGTTTCCTTGCACACTGCGTCACGCTGTCACATCCTAGCTGTGGTGTCATGCCCTTTTTACACATTCCTCCGTCTACTAACGCAGGCATAGGAGCAACTCCCGTGGCGACCGGTGTAGTCGTGCGACGGTCGAGCGCGTCATCTGCTTTTCCCCGTGACGCGCACGTTCACGTCATTCTCGGCTTTGCCCTGGCCCCGTACACAATACGTGTGTGGTCATGGCGGCCCTTCCACACAGCGATGTTAGCACGCATGCATCAGCTTACCCCTCTCAGCGCACTCACTCTAAGTCCAACACTACGGCGCGGTCTCTCGTAGTGCACGCCACAACAAGCGACGCCCACCCATGCTTGGACCCCGCTGTCAGGCATGTCACGCGCAATACAGACAACAGCCAGTTCGTCGAAACCTGCAACGCTATGAACACAGCTAGTCTGCTGCACACAACTGATGATATATTACTAGCGCAGGCAGTCCATGTCACGAGAAGAGCCATAATAACAGTGACACATGTGAGCGCATGCCAGCCCCCACCGCCAGCACACTACTAATAATGTGAATCACACACTATGGATTCAAAGATATGTAGGATGTGTGTGATAGGGGTACCCTCACTCCTGACACACAGCCACAGTAAACTCTGCTCCAGATAGTGCCACTCTCACATGTACAACAGAAAGAAGACAGTTCTGACCATGTCCAGGAAGTGAAACTGACATAAACAAAGCAAGAGCACCAAAGGTCGTGCAGAAGACCCGATGGTCAGAGTCATCAGTCGGGATGCATCTTGCAGGACTATATACACGATGAAGCGGGCGACACGATCTGCGATCACAAAAGCTTCGCATGGACATCCGAAAGCAGCTGTCTTCAAGTGGTGGTGCCGGCTCACGAAAATTCAAGCAATGAGAAGAGAACACGAAAAAAGATTGTTTGCTTGGATGATGCACAAATAGTGATTACTGTACACCGCAGCTATTAGACGCAGCGGTTGATTCCCCAAGACCACTTTGTGCATCACTCCCGAATTCGTCCTTGTAAAGCAGGCAAATCACGATAAAGTTTCGTTGAGTGACCATGGTGAGGTAAGTAATGGGACATATTCCAATACAAAAGAAAGCCTCAGTAAGTTTACATGAAAGCCATATTACTTTCTTGCCCCGGAAAGTGGACCCACAGCGAACTTAGTTGAACACGCACGTCTCAAGGGAAGCAAGTCCGTGTTAGTAAAAACGTCAACCTATCCAATTGGTCACGATCACCTGCGGACACAGCGCACCCTCTCGTGAAAATTTAACATTTAGGCAGATCTAAGAAACATCCACTATAGGGTATAATGAGAGTAGAATAAACCCAGCGGCGAAAAGGA